GCTCGGGCGGGAGGCCGCAGGCCACCTGGAGAGAGCGGGCTGCGGTCTGGACGCTGAGTCTAACGAAGAAGAATCAGCTGGGTTCGCTCTCGAGCTCAGCGAGTGAGTCCCCACTGCTTTTACCCTGACCGTCTATACAGACAACACATATTTAGGAGGTTATCATGGGGGGTTTTCCTGGGAAATTTAAAACACTTTGTTTCCAAAATCTGTGTTACACTCCCTGTAACACGGTGGCTCAGTGGTGAAGAATCTGCTGCCGGTGCAGGAGACGCAGACTCGCTCCCTAGGTTGGAAAAACCTCCTGGAGAAGGAAATGGCAACCTACTTCGGTGTTCTTGGCTGGAAAAGCCCAAGGACAGAGGAGCCTGGCGGGCTACAGTCCACGGGGTCGCAAAGAGTCAGACACGACAGCGGCTACAGGAACAACAGCTTTTAAAGCATGTGTATCTCTGTGCAGGCAAGGTGACCCTGCGTTCCTCACCTCGTCCAGCCCGTCTGCTTCTCTGGACAGTGAGGGCTGGACTTCTGAAACGCACTGTCTTACTTGATTCAGCCGGGGAGTTCCCCTCACAGAAGATTTCCCCCGGGGCTCTGTTGTGGGTCTCCAGTCGAGGGACTTGCGCTCTCTGGGTAACAGACTCGCCTTCCCGACTGAGAGAAGGATCTGTGTTCACACCCAGAATTGAAGGGGCCCCAGGCGCTCAGCTGGATTCAGCCCCGAGCCCAGCCCTGGAGGCTGGCTCAGACACCGGGGCCTCCGCCAGGGAAGTGGGACGTGGGGCCAGGTGTCTGCAGAGAGGACGCTGGTCTGTGTCTGCTCAGAGCCTGATCTTTGTGCTCCGACCAGCGTGTTCAGTTTGGGTTCTGAGAACGAGTCGGTGTTCATATAAAGGCCTACCCTGGAACTCACAGAAGCTCATGTCGTGGTCTCGCGTCTCAAGGCTGCACCAGTTTGGACAGAAGGGCCCCCGTGGCTGCTCTAGCCTGAAAGTTAACCCCCAAAAGGATGTGAAATCAACATACTGAAATTTACACACGGTCGTGGTATCAGTTTTCGGGTTTCAAATTGTTAACTGTTTTGGGCGACGTCTGGATAAATTTCTCACGTCAGAAGCTGTGTCGAGTGAACTTTTAAAACTGAGGTTGTGTCACTGACTGTGGTTTATCAGAAATGAGAGAATGTTCCGGGACGGGAAGCGTTCCGAGTCAGCTTCCTGCGAGGACAACGTGGATGCAGTGGGTCCTCACGCGCCGCTGGAGCCCTCTGCTGGTGGGCCCTGGAATGGCAACAGCCCATAATCAGGAAGCCTGGTTGGCGTTTCTCTGTCCAACCTCGCGAATTCAAAAGCATCTTACCCTCTTGCAGTTTTTAGAGCCGCGATCTCAGACGGTAAAACGGAGTCAAACAAGAGCCCCACAGTTTTTGCTCCGCCAACAATTTTTGGAATACAAAAGCTAACGTTCCTAGATAATCCCAAATGATTGTACGTCAGCACATTTTTGAAAATAAAATTTAAAATCCTTCCTGTAAACAAGTGACATTTGGAAGAGCGGTACCAGCCTGTAATAGCCAAAGCTGTGGGTCACAGAGGAGGAACAGAGTGGGTAGACCAGGAAGCCCCGGGCTGTGGGTGCTTGGTCTGGGGTCTCAATGCACCATCTGTCCTGGGCGATGCGGGCTCCAGCTGCCCGTTATGTCCCCACCCACCTCCTACCACCCCACCTCCACCACCCCCACCCCCCACTTTACAAATTACCAAAGGACAGTGATGTCCAGGCCCAGGAGAGGAGAGAAATGTGGGCCCCGGAGTTTGGAGAGGGCCCGGCCCTTGAAGGCCACGTGGCTGGCGGTGACCCCTCCCTGCCCTGATGTGAGGTTGGGACAGGGGCTCTGTGGGGCGGGGGACAGCCTCTCAGAGGCACCCAGCGGAATCTACTGCTTGTGAATCTGCACTTTTGGCCACAGCCCCCCCTGCCCTGGGAAGAGGCCAGAGTCCTGGTCATTCACGTGGACGGGTTCCTTCGGAGGAAGGAGGTCTTGCCTCAGGAACGCTGGTCCCAGTCGCCTTGGTGGTCTCTGGGCACCTGTTTTGGGGAAATCAAAGTGCCACAGCTGAAAGCCGCAGTGTCACACAATCGCCTGTCCCTCTGTTCTTGACGGAGGGATTCCGGCAGCTTCTTTCCCCGTTGAAATGTCTTCAGCCCCTTTTGTCTTGAAGTGTGTTTTCGTTTCCTAGGAGCACCATTTGGCTTCCCCTCTGGGGCTTCCCAGGTGGCGCTAGTGGTAAAGAACCCATCTGCCAATGCAGGAGGTGTAAGAGACGCGGGGTCAGCCCCTGGGTCGGGAGGATCCCCTGTAGGAGGGCACGGCAACCCACTCCAGGATTCTTGCCTGGAGAATCTCGGACAGAGGAGCCTGGCGGGAGACTCCGACACGACGGAGAGGCTGATCTCACGTGCGTGCACACGTCATCACGGGCTCCGCCCGCCTGGTGGGTCTCCTTGTCTGTAAGACAACTCTCGGGATGTGGCTCTGAATATCATCTGTAGCTCCCGGGAGGAAACTAAAGCTCCTTGACTATGCTTAGTGACTGTGTCATCACTATTTAGTTTCCTTTGACTGTTTTCCTTTTTTTTTTTTTCCTGCTTGTTCTCACGTCTCTGATTAAACTTATTCATTGGCTAAAGTTTTTCCACAGACAGAATTTAGGCTGAGGACATGGGGCGGGGCGAGAACCGCAGGGTCCTACTCAGAATGAGGGTGTGGGGTCACAGGGTACCAGCTGATGAGGTGTGCTGGGGAGGGTCCCCAGGGTCTGTGTCCCGAGCCGGAACGCTGGTGTGTTCCCGAAGTCTGAGGAGGCGCTTGTTGCCTTTCTCTGGTTCCTTCTGGAAATGTCACCAGGAGGGCAGAGCGACAGGGCACCCAGAAGTCTGAATTTCAGATCAACAATGAATAGTCTTTAGTTTGTCTGTCCACGCTACCGCATTATTCACTGTGTCTGAAGTGCACATGGAACTGGGCATCCTGTGTGCTGCGTTCTGATTCTGGAACCCCAAAGGAAGGTCAGCAGAGACCAGAATGTGTTTATCGACTCTGGCACCCTTGGTGCTTATACGCCCAACGGTAGGCTTTATGTCCTAGAAAGTGGGTATAAATGTGCTGTGTGCATTGGCCATACGCAAGGCTAATCTTCCTGTCTTGTCCTTACAGAATATAAAAAACAACTACTGTGTCATGAACCTGTGGTTTAACAGCAGTATTCTAGGTGTAATAAAAACTGAAATGTGATGGTTTTCTTGTCTTAGAACAAAGAAGCACTTTGTGGGGATGATTTATATGACTGTCCTCTCTCAAAACAACTTTTCAGAGAATTTCTGCAGTATCCCTCTTTCCCTCCACAGTGGGAGAGAGATCTCGGAGGTGTGTGTGTGAGAACTTCTAAACAAGCACGCAGGCCTGGGAGGAGGTGTTCTGAGACCCTGAGACTCTGCCCCAGGTGTAGCTTCCTCCCTTCCTGTTACCCCCAGCCTGCCAGGCGGCGGTGGGGCGGGCAGCCTGGGATAGAGGGGTGGCTCAGGCCCGTCTCCCTGCCGACGGCTGGGGCGCCACGCGGGGCAGCACGGGGTGTGTGGTCCGGAGTCTGGGGTCTGCGGCCGGCTGTCTGGGCCCACGTGGCCGAGCGTTGGTCAGGACCAGGCAGCCCGCTGAGCAGCAGAGCCCGGGTGAGCAGGTGAGGGGCCTGGCCTGTCTCCAGGGAGTTCAGGGACCAGCTCCTGACCTTGGGACATTCTCAACGCCAGCTGATGCATGGGCCCCCGCTCAGCCTGGACTTTCAGAACCGCCCTGTGTCTGGGGCGCCCCTGGCTTCCATGGACCGTGTGTTCTGGGGCCTCTGAATTTCAGTTAGGCAGTTTAGGAAGTTAATTTTATCTCAATGTGGGCTTAGTGAGTTGCCCACAAAATGAACAGCCTTTCTCCTATCAAACAAAACCGGAACTTCTGAAAACTGAGATTCAGTGACTGAAAGTAGTTCCGGGACACCAGCCTCTGAGGTTAGGATCCCGGGTCCTGTGAAATGTCCTGGGAATCCGAGTTGTTCTTTCCCTGGGAAGCTGATGTGAAGGACCGGTCCTGGGAAAGTCGGTGCTCCTCTGCACAGCTCACAGGAAGACGGAAACACACCCGACTCTCTGTGCAGTTCAGTCCAGTCGCTTAGTCATGTCCGACTCTTTACGACCCCGTGGACTGCAGCAGGCCAGGCCTCCCTGTCCATCACCAACTCCTGAAGCTTGCTCAGACTCACGTCCATCGAGTCGGTGATGCCATCCAACCATCTCTTGCTCTGTCGCCCTCTTCTCCTCCTGCCTGTTAGCTCTCGAATTTTAAAGACAAAGTACTGTGCTTTCTAATAGCCAGTCAAGACTGCTGGTAACTGGAGTGAGGGGTAGAAGCTCAGATTCCTGGGAGATGCCACGAGTCACGCCCATGCTGGTTTTCTCTGAGTAAAGATCTGATTTCCCCCTTCTAAACCCCACAGCTAAATGGCTTCTCTCGTATGGGCTCCGAGGGACCCGTGGTCGCCATGGCTGTGTCCCTGGGGGCGGCGGGGAGGCAGCCTCCGAGGCTGCAGCCACCACCCTGGAGGGGCCGAGCTCCGGCCCTGCCCACTGTCCACGGTGTGGATGGAGCTGGCCCGACAGTCCCACGCGGAGAGGCCTTCCTTCCGTGGTCTCCCTGTGGCTCTCAGACGGCCCCTCTTCAGCACACACCTTCATCACTCTTTGGGTCGTTGAAACCCGAACTGAGGCTGAGGACCAGGCTCTCGGGGCAGGACTGAGCCCATGTGACGTGGAGCGCCTTTCCCAGAGGTCTTCTGTGGAGGGCGACCGCAGGGTGGCATCCCCGCTGGGGGCTGCCTGCTGGTCTGTGTTTCATTTGGGAGCCCACGTCCTGGCCTGCTTCTCTGATGGAGGCATTTCTGCTTCGACCCCAGGACTGGTCGCCATAAAGGACGCCCATGATATCGAGACCAGGCTTAACGAGGTGGAGAAGCTTCTCAAGGCCATCATCAGCATGCCTCGCAAGGTGGGGGCGCAGCAGGGGTGCTAGTGGGCAGGTGGGTTGGCGGGCGCCCTCCTGGAGGTGTGGGGGGTGGGGCGGGGCCAGGAGCCAAGGAGAGAGCGCCTCCTTGGGCTCTGGGAGCTCCAGTGTTTTCTCCCTTGGGAAGAAGCAGAAGCAAGGGGCTCACAGTTTACTGGAAAGTGAGGCAGACGTGTGTGAAACATCGGCACAGGCCTGGCACATGGTCCCCGTCCCGCCTGCCCCAAGCCCCGAGCCCCCCCAACCCCTGGACCATCGCCTCCATCCCGCGGGAGGAACGTGTGTAGGAAGGAACGTGTTTCCTCCCAGTACTCCAGGTCAGAAGTCGTGCTCACCTTCTTCGAAAGATCGCCCCTGGATCAGGTGTTAAAGAATGACAACGTGCATAAAATTCAACCCAGCTTTCAGAGTCCGGTGAAGATCTCAGGTGAGACCTGCAGGGGAGGCGCGGGGTGGGTGTGGGGACAGCGCTGCCGTGGGCGGCCGAGGGGTCCGGAAACCTTCCCAGCCCACTGTCCACGTGCTGGGCATGCCTGCCCCCCTTGGGGCCCAGAAAGCAGACCTGACAGAAGGACGGAAGCAGAGGAGAGGAGCTGCTTCCAGATCTTGTGAAATGGTGTGCTTCTCCCTGCTGGCCTGCGGCTTGCCCGCTGCCTGCTTCCAGGGGTGTATAAATTGGAACTTATTAAAAAAAGCAGTCTATGAGGAAAGCATTAATGAGGCATTGTGAAGCGAATGGCTGGAATCCATCATCAAGCCTGCAACAATGCGAGTTCAGCTCGTGTGGCATTGCCTTTGTTCTGGGCTTTAGGGCAGGTGGGACAGAAAGGGACGCTCGGCTTGGGGCTCCTCAGTCTGGGCCTTGGGCCGTGCCTTCTGGCAACAGTCAGCAGCGGTTGGAGATGGTCCTGCAGGTCTCAGGAGAGCGAGGGGAAGCCAGGGCTCAGCCCGCTGCCAGCTTCCTCTGATCCGCGCCGTATGCATCAGTACAGCGCTAGACTCTCCTCGGTGCTGCAGGCGAGGCTCTGAGGAGCGTTTTGCAGGGAGAGGTCTGGCCCAGGAGCCCAGGGACTTGTCCGGGCCTGGGCGAGGTCCTGCAGGACCACCCCCTCGGGGGCCGGGGAGGGTGTTCCCGCCAGAGGCAAGATGTACCTTCCTCGTTCACTGAGTGACGAAATGAACGTATCCAGACGAGAAGAGGGTCAGTTCAGAGGTCCTTTCCAGGACATGGTTCCTCACAGCAGCACCGCCAGCCCCTGAGGTCCTGGCTGCTGAGAGCGGCTCTGCTCCCCAGTCTTGGCCCGTATTCGGGGTGTGCACAGACTCGGGGGTCCCCAGGCACAGAGTCTCCAGCGGCCAGGCCTCCCCCCGGGGATGCATCGTCAGTACCCGCGTGGGCCACCCCGAATCTGACTTCCTGGCTCATTGACTTGTTGATTTCCTGTGGTCCTGGGCAGGTCGGGATGTGGCCCCTATGGGTCTCCCGTCGCTGCGGAGCCCCCCCTCAGTCCGGGCACCCACCTCCTGCCCGCCGGGCCTGTGTCCTCTCTCCCCGCAATCCCTGCCCGTGCACGTCCGCTCCGGTCCTGCTCAGCTCCCCTCGCTCCTGAGAGCGCCCGTGCCCGCTCTCACCACCCTTCCTCCCAGACTCCTCGGCAGCTTCTGGCACCTCTGATGTGGCCTCTCTGGAGGCGATGCCGCCTGGGGGCAGCCCTGCCTTGGTGCACACTCAGGCCTCCGGTTGACCGGCTAGGGGCCAGGGCCCCACTAGGTGGCATCAGGCGCTCGTGGCAGAGGGACCAGCCGCCTCCCGGGCCCTCCCGGGTTCTGACAAGCTCTCTGGCCCCTTTGGCGAGGCTTTGGGTCAATGGAACCAGAAACATTCTTCACCCCATGTTAATCTAAAAGCTTCTTACCATCTCTAAGAAAACCGTGCAGCTTAAAATGAAGCATACACCTCGGCCTTTATCTGGTTACTTAGATGAATTGATATCAGCCACAAAACCCAAAGTATTAAGGTTTGGGAAGCCTGGAAATATAATTTAATTTTTTATTAGCCAGGCATTTGTACAGTCTCAGCCTTAATTTTCACCAGCGTTTGTTAGATTCTTTATAAAAACTATCTCATTTAACGCCACCCCCCAGCCCCCCAGTGCCCCTTAGGATAGACACTGTTATTCCCATTTTACAGGCTGCTGCTGCTGCTGCTAAGTCGCTTCAGTCGTGTCCAATTCTGTGTGACCCCATAGACGGCAGCCCACCAGGCTCCCCCGTCCCTGGGATTCTCCAGGCAAGAACACTGGAGTGGGTGGCCATTGCCTTCTCCAATGCATGCAAGTGAAAAGTGCAAGTGAAGTCGCTCAGTCGTGTCCAACTCTTAGCAACCCCATGGACTGCAACCTACCAGACTCCTCCGTCCATGGGATTTTCCAGGCAAGAGTACTGGAGTGGGTTGCCATTGCCTTCTCTGATTTTACAGGCTGAAAAACAGCAAAGAGTAACCTCCTTCACAGGCTTAACTGGTAGAACTGGAGTTTCCTGAAGGCCCAGCTGGCTTCTCTTCACCAACAATTAAGGAATGATTTGTGACAAATGTGTTTCGGGGTCTGGTTCCATTTTCTAGATTCCGGGTTCTAGAACTGCAGATCTCACATTTAATAAAGACTAGGAGATTCCCATATGAGGTGACTCTACTTGCAGCACTGATGTTTGTTTTCACTTGTAAGGTTCTTCTATCCCCCCATTCCCCTGGAGAGGGTGGGAGACAGGGTTTGGGGTTGTCAGCTGGCTGTGCTGGGGTCGCTGAGGTTTTACGTGCTTCCTGGGGCAGATTTCAGTCAGGTAATAAAAGCGGTAAAAAAGGTGTTCCTGGACGCTCCCCTGCTGGCCAGTGGTTGAGATCCACACTCCCAAGGCAGGGGCCTGGGGTCGGTCTCTGGTCAGGGAACTAAGATTCCACGTGCTGCATGATATGGCTCAAAAGAATGGCTTTTTAATTTTAAAAAAAGTGGCTCTGTGCTGTCCCACATTTCACACTGTGAGGTTGGGGGTCTTTCTCCCGCTGTCAGGGGTCGTCCTCCGTGGGTCTCTCCGCCCGCTCAGGCACTTGGCAGCCTCTTCTCTGCAGCCGGTGGTGTCATTGACCCTGATTTCTTGCTGGTTTTCGGCTCCTTCTTCTGACTCATGAGCTGCCTCAGGCGGTGGGCTCTGGCTGGGCTCAAGCGGCAGGGCAGGTCGGGGACGAGCCGCTTGCTGGTGCTGCTCACAGGGGGCAGATCCAACGGCCCTCCTGGCAGGGCCGGGGAGACGTGCATTACCCCTTCTCCAGAAAGTCAGGGGAAATTTCAGCCATTACTCGGCAAACCTGAGTGATGAACGTCATTTCATCCTGGGAGGGGGAGGAGGAAGCCTAGTTTTCTGTCTTCTTTTTTGCGTAGTTTCCCCAAGTGTCTTCCTATGGAGAGAAACTGAGAAAATTGAGAACCAAGAACCTAAAATACCTATAAAGGTTAAAAGTAGGTACGAAGGTACAGTCTTGCTTATTTAAAAAGAGCAAATCTGTCCATGGGGATAAAATAATCTCACTGACGGTTATGGTATAAGAAATAAAAGGAGACAGTGCCCAGACAACCAGGGCATCGGACGCCCACTGAGACGGCAGTATGGGGCGTCCTGTGGCCTGACCGGGGCAGAGGACGCTGCTCTGAGCTGTCCGCGTGCGTCAGGCGCTGCGTGGAGGACGCTGGTCACTTGGGAAAGCAGCAGGAATCTGGAGTGTGTTTTAAGCACATTTCTAAGGTGAGGTAGGTGGAAGGCCTGAGCGTGGGGCTTGCTGACCAGGGATGGCGGCCGGGGACGAGCCAGCGTTCAGGCAGCTGCCGCCCTGCTAATGCCCCCCCCGCCCCCCGGTGCCTATTCTTGGGGTCTGCGGTCTACTGAGGGAAGGGCTGGGCACGCAGTCCAGGAAGTGTCAGCCGGAGAAGGGGGACGAGAGATGTGTGAGCCCCAAATGTCAGAACTTCAAACCCTTGTGAATGACCTCCCTCATTTCTCTTGTTTTCAGAAATCATGAGGTCCAATGGATTCTGTTTAGCAAATACGGAAACGATCGTTATTGACCACAATATTCCAAACAGCAAAGACCAGCACGGGGCTGCGGACCCCACGGAGCACCTGTAAGTGTGCTGACTGTCGCTGGCGGGCCCCCGGCTGGGTTCACGGGTTCTGCCCTGTCTGTGCTCACGGGCCGGGAGCCTGCACTCCGCTGGGCAGCCCTTCCCTTCCCAGGGGCTGGCTCTGGCGGGCGGGGGTCAGGCTCCTGCCCAGCCTCACCGCCTGCCTCCCCATGCAGGTTTGAGGGCGGGGGCGAGTTCCCCGCCGAGCTGGAGGATGGGGACGACCCGGCGGCCTACGTCACCAACCTGTCCTATTACCACCTGGTGCCCTTCGAGACGGACATTCTGGACTGAGGCCCCCCCGGGCTCCTCCCCCGGCCCGCCCGCCCCCAAGGAGACCCATGTCTCCAGCAGCCAGGAGTCAGGTCGGGGGTCCAGTGCCCCTGCTGCTTCTCGGGCTCTTCCTGCCTGCATCTGCATCCCAGGACGCGCCCCATCGAGCCTGGACCGACCACAAGTGCCTGCAAGACGGCCCGGGGCCAGGACCGGACACCCGGCCCTCCCCCAGGAGGGCATCTGGCCACCCTCCCCCCACCACGTGCCCTCCCTAGACCAGCGCACAGGACGTTTCAAGTGAGATGTTGCTGGGTCCCCAGGTTCTGGACGACACGGGGGGTGTTCTCTCACCCAGGTTTCCCGGGACCAGGATGTGTGGCTTCCAGTCCTGCATCCTACCTTCTTCCCAGAAGCCGGGGGCTTCGTGTCAGCCCAGGGGTGTTGGCGGAACGTTGGTCGTGAGTAGGGTGTCGGCTGCAGGCACGAGGGACCCGCTGGCCGGTGCCCACGTGGGGGACACAGAGAGGAAGGAGCCCTCCTGGCCTCCTGCGAGGGGTGAGGGCGCTGGGCCCTGCCCACCGCCAAGCTCTCGGAGATGTAGCCGCCGTGTCAGCCTGGGAGACGGGAGCCGGGAGGCCACCGAGTGCTCCGGCGGGTCGCCCGCTGCCCTCGGGCAGAGTCTGGGTTCTGTGTGTTCATCTCCTCACAGAGTCTACTAAGGACCAGAATTTGCTCGTGTAAATAATAGTAAATTATTGAGAATCCTAATTCTTTTACACAGTCTGTTTTTTAATCTATTTTCATGAAATAAAACACACTGCTCTCCTCTGATCTGTTTATCACGTGGCTCTTGTCACTGCCCCGGGGCCAGGGGACCCCGCACACTTCCCGGCCTGCTGCCCCAGTGGTCGCTGTCCTTTAGGAAGTGTGTTCTTGCCCTGGGGAATGATCTGTGCAAAAAAGAAGTGAAAGTCGCTCGGTCGTGTCCCACTCGTTCGACCCCGTGGACTATCCAGTCCGTGGGATTCTCCAGGCCAGAATACTGGAGTGGGCGGCCTTTCCCGTCTCCAGGGGATCTTCCCAACCCAGGGATCGAACCTGGCTCTCCCGCACTGCAGGCGGATTCTCTCCCAGCTGAGCCACCAGGGGAGCCCAAGAATCCTGGAGAGGGGAGCCGAGCCCTTCTCCAGCGGGTCTAAACTGGAAAGGAAGCAGGCGGTGTGTGCTTTTGCTTGGGGCTCGCCTTCCTGCGAGCTCCCCGCTGGCGGCCCCGGGCAGCTCCTCCTGTGACCCGGCGGGCAGTGTGGCCTTCCCGTGGCTCCTGCCCCTCCCAGGCCTCCAGCCGCGCTCGGCTGGGGCAGCCCGCTTCCTAACAGGCAGTCGGGTGGCCAACGGGGTCGACGGCTGCCTCCTTCTCTTGGGGGTTAAATTCAGTTCTGAATGGATAGGGCCTCCTCCTGGCAGGGTTAGAATCAATCACGCTCAGCCAATCAGCGTCCAAGTTCCAATCGCTGGTTCCTGGGTATCTGCCTCATTATCCATGTTCCACGGGGGGCTTCTCCCTAGCTGTGAGGTCTCAGTAGCGGCAGCTCGCGGAGCTCCTCGGCTCATGGGGCCCAAGTCACCCCTCAGGGCCCAGCTCAGCTCCCCAGGCCCACCTCAGCTTTCACACAGAACGCTTCACTGTTTTCCAGTCAGCGTGCACCGAGATCTCTAAGGTAGGGGTCAGATTTTTGCATGTTTTCCTATAAAATACATCAGAGCATTCTCTGACTTCCTTTCTTTTTCTTTTTTTTCCTGGAAAAACATGATCTTCTAGACGCCTTTGTTGTGTGCCCAGATTTGAAAGAAC